TGAACTTATCTTTCCTGCAGACCTGTTCCTTCTCCTGTGTTCCTTCATTTAGTGAGTGGTACCTAACATCTAACTCATTACTCAAAACAGAAACCTGGGCACCATCCCTGAATCCTTCTCTTTGACGCTTTACTCAGGGTTCTTCACTGTATCTTCCAGCTCAACCTCAATTCATTCCCTATCACCATTGCTCTCTGCCCTGGTTCAGGACACTGTCTACTACTGTAACTTGAATCCTGCAAAATCCTTCTACTGATCCAACCTCTCCTCCCAAAACATTTTCACTATGGTCAGCCTCAAGTGTTCTAATCAATTAATCAATCAATTTAATCAATGTAAATGATACCATTTCCCTCAAGCTAGAGGCCCAAGTTCCTCAGTCTTGCTTTCCACATACTAATTCACCCAGTTAACTCCCAGTTTCCTTCTGGTCCAATCTTTAATATTATCTCTCCTCAGTCAGTCTTCTCTGACCCCTGAAGTCTGCCAGTCCTATAACATCAAATGTTTAAGTTGCTGCATTTACCATTTTCTATTAGATTCACTCATTTTCATCTATAAATGTGGTGAGGAAAAGAACCCTATCCCTAAGTTCATCCCTCTCCTGCCACTGGCTAACCTGGTGTATGGAAAAGAATAGGTACTCAAATATTTACTAGATTAACACATTAATAAATGAATTTCCCTTTATCAGATTATCTGGGGTCTCAATATCCTAAATGAAATGAGAGAAATGGAAAAAAAAAATGTCCTGTACCTACCTAATATAAAAGCCACTCCATACCCCAGATAAATGGGAGAAAAAGACCCCACATGATCATTCTGACTCAAGGAGGAGAAATGCTGTGAATACTTCTGTGGACAAGCTTTTCCCACATCAGTCCTCCCAGGCACCGACATAGCCAATGCCTGTGCTACTGCGACCCCCTAAAAAAATGGGCTGGCAAATCATGCTCATCATATCCCACCCTTTGCATCAAGACAGCAAGTCCAAGACAGGAGACACTGCAGCTTTTCCCGAACTCTGTGGTTCCTAAATAAGCTACTGCTTACCTGCTCTCCACCCCAGCAGATGATACAGAAATATTTTAGTTACACTCTCTACTCAGTATTTCCCTTTACATCAATAGACGTTTTTCAAACAGATCCCAGCTTAGAAATGATACTACAGTTTGTCTGTTTTTCTAATCTAGCAAATGACCCAACAAGACATTCTGGACAATAGCTCAGTCGAAATGCATTTTCAGAAATGCTCAAGTGTTACTGACAGCTGTGATAAACTGTGGTCAAAGCAACTAATAATTTCTTTAGAAGGAAAAAAAGCACAGTTAAAAGCTAGAAAGCAGTGAGATTAGGATGAGTTTAGCAAACATTCTGTTCCTACACAAGCATGTTCATAAGAAACAGCCAAGCGTAAGACAACAAGGGACAATGTTCCAGCAATGGGAAGCAATGTTTAACCCTGCTTAAGCTCTGGGCAGAGAAAAATGGACCCTAGCACTGTTCTGGTTACTGCGAACAATCACACTCTACAATGACAGCATGTGCTTATTATGACAGAAAATATGCCATAGACTTCAAATAAACTCAGATTTAAGCCATATCACATCATCACCCCCATTTAACAGTTGAATTGAAGCAAAGAATTTCAGTAACAAGCTCAAAGTAATATAGCCACTAAGTGTGCTTCAAGTATCAGTTAAAATATTTTAAGTGTACCCAACATTTTAGGTTTTAAAAATCACTGAGGACTTTAATTATGACACTATTTCAGTTAGGGAGACTATGACCACAGATGAATCAGCATTTAAGTGATTTGGAATTGAACACTTGAGTCTATAGCAAATTATGAAATATCTAGTTATCCTGATGCTTACGGCATACCATACAGCCTTTAACAGAAGGTTTAGTCTTCTCTTCAGCCAGAATCTTAACATTTCCAAAATGATGTATTATGTTTCTAATGTAGAATAACAAACACAGTTGGGAAGCTATTTAAATTGTATATAGGAGGAACGAAGGAGAAATAGGGACATCAAGGTTAATAGGTCCTTCAGTTGCAGTATATGCTATTAGGAAGGTAAGTGGGACAAGCTATCATTCCAGCCTGCACAACACACATGCTACAAACCAGGAGGAGCATATTGCATTTGGATGAAAGGAGTGAACTCTTGCTTGAAGCTTCACTTTTGACATCAGTCTACTACTGAAATAAGGTTCTCTCAATGAGTTAAGCAGAAAGTTTCCCAGCAATCTGTGTGCCAGAACCTCCAGAATAGTGCTTTTGGGAGTTAGCTGCATTATTTATAGTGTTTGTATAGCAACTGAAAACAGTCAAAAAGCACCTTGTTTTGCGAAGGAAAAATAATGAAGTGTTTCATCCACAAGGAAACAAAATGTGTCAGAACATACAGGAAAAAGCTCTCTCTGTGGAACACATTCTGTTGGTACTAGGTTATCTGTTATTATAGAAGTACAATATCCACTATGCCACAGCGCTTGCTGGTCATGGAAAGAGGGCACACTGGGCTGAAAGGTCTCACTTAGAGTGCCTTCCTGGCCTTCTCTGGCTACTGAGTGCTAGCATTCTGGCTTATCAAATTCACTACAAACTATTTAATTGTAATTTCCTTTCTATACAAGCCAAACACCTAACTCAAAGCCAAATTAAAAAAAAAAAAAATCGCCAGGCACGGTGGCTCAAGCCTGTAATCCCAGCATTTTGGGAGGCTGAGGAGGGTGGATCATGAGGTCAAGAGATCGAGACAATCCTGGTCAACATGGTGAAACCCCGTCTCTACTAAAAATACAAAAAATTAGCTGGGCATGGTGGTGCGTGCCTGTAATACCAGCTACTCAGGAGGCTGAGATGGGAGAATTGCCTGAACCCAGAAGCAGAGGTTGCGCCATTGCACTCCAGCCTGGGTAACAAGAGTGAAACTCCGTCTCAAAAAAAAAAAAAAAAAAAAAAATCAGAACAAGTAAAACCAGGAAAAGCTATTTCTGTCACAGTTCTGGAGGATGCATCTTTGAGAATATGTCTTCGTTAGTACCTTTTCTCAAACAGGCTAGATTTGTATCTGAAATATTAATCATATGAAAACAAGAAGAAAGTTAACAGAATCATCTGTTATGTCCTTCTCTCTCTTTTTTTTTTTTTTTTTTTTTTTTAGGCAGAGTCTCACTCTGTCACCCAGGCTGGAATGCAGTGGTGCCATCACAGCTCACTGAAGCCTTGACCTCCTGAGCTCAAGTGATCCTCCTGCCTCAGCCTCTGAAGCACCTGGACTACAGGTATGTGTCACCATGTCTGGCTAGAGACATCCATTATGTCTTAATTCCACTGTGAAAATTTAAAAAATTAGGATTCCAGTAAGTCATGAAGTGAGACAGAATATCTCATGAAAACGGGGCATCTGCTTCTTTCACCAACTCTTAAACTGAATTCTATCAGGAATCAATGAGGAAACTCCAGAAACACCAGGAAAGTGTATTTACTTCCTTTGCTTCAGTCTCCACGACACATGGTCTTTCAGCAAAGAACATAATATATCACTCACTCCCTCTCTGATGAGAATTTAATCTTTATATCAAATCCCACATAGCAACTACTCATAATAAAAAAAAAAATCAACATTTAAAAAACAGAAGATGAGGCTTTTCAAAGAACAAGTTGCTTTCTTTGTGGCAAACAACACTGATCCAATCCAAGTATGTTTTTGAGTGTCACAAGGCCCTGTGCTTATGGATGCCACGACATCTCTACATAACTTCCATCGCCAGGTGATCTGAATCTGCACACAGGTCCACTAACCCCTTTCAGATGAAATCCTACTGGCCCTCACTGAACTAAATCTCTATCTCAGTCTTGCTTTGTCCTTTTTGAGCTTGACATTGTTGAAAAGCTCAGGTCAGTTACTGTGCCAGGTTTCTCCACTGCCAAATTCACGAAAGACAGAGATCAACTGAGCAACTTTTCAGATTAAACAGGTCTAAAGAGACATGACAACTTAATTCAATATATGGTATACGGTAGCATATAGTATATGATACTCTTATATACTATGGTAATATAAGAGAATATCATTGTTTTTAGGAAATATACATTAAATTAGACGTCAAGGAGCATTATGGATATAACTTACTCAAGTGTTTCAGAAAAAATCTTTAAGGGGAGTGATAGAGAGGCTGGCAAAACAAGTACTATGGTAACATTTGAGAACTAGAAGTGAAGAATACAAGGGAATACTTTGTACTATTTTTGCAACTTTCTTTTTCTAGTGAACATTATCTGTAATTATTTTTCAAGTCTAAAATTATTTCAAAATAAAAAGTTTTACCCAGGGCTTCAGAAGAAAATTTAAATAAGAACAAACTTAAAAGTTTTGTTTTTTTTCTTTTAATTTAAAAGTTTTAAAAAAGTGTGTAAGATTTATGCCCATGAATACAACAGACTTAATGTATTAAGGAGATATGTATGTGTGTGTGTTACATATATATATTTATTTTTGAGAGCGAGTCTCACTTTGGCGCCCAGGCTGGAGTGCAGTGGCGAGATCTTGGCTCACTGCAACCTCTGTTTCCCAGGTTCAAGCAGTTCTCCTGGCTTAGCCTCCCAAGCTGCTGGGATTACAGGCATGTGCCACCAAACCTGGCTAATTTTTTTTTGTATTTTTAGTAGAGATAGGATTTCACCCTGTTGGCCAGGCTGGTCTCAAACTTCTGACCTCAGGGGATCCGCCTGCCTCAGCCTCCCAAAGTGTTAGGATTATAGGCATCAGCCACCGTGCCCAGCCCCCAAGGATGTTTTTAGGTAGCAAGAGGAGGAAGACCCCAAGATGAACTGCATGTCACCTTTTCTGTTTAAGTGCTGAACCATTCAAAGAAGCAGCAAGCAAATTTTGGCAGGTAATGTTATGGGGACTTAAAGTGAGAAAAGTAATAGGAAGAGTAGTTAAGATTTAATATATTTAATTTTTTAAAAAATGTAGTATACTCACTGTCCAATCCAGGATGGCTGATAGTCATTAACGAGATGGATTTTGTCAATGGAGAGGAAATAGCTGATGTACAGTAATTAAATCCCTGCTGCTTAGATCTGTGACATATCTATGAAGTAAAAAAGTAAAGAACAGGTTGTAAGCATATGCTCTCATATTTCTAGAAAAGCATAAAACTTCATAATTAGACCCACATATTTGTTCTTTGAAAGTCTAAATATTTCTTCATACAGATATAGTAGGCTATCAGTAATAATATTCTGATTTTACTTTATTTTTAAGACAGAGTCTCCCTCTGTCACCTAGGCTGGAGTATAGTGGCACCATCTTGGCTCACTGCAACCTCCAGGGTTAAAGTGATTCTTCTGCCTCAGTCTCCCGAGTAGCTGGGATTATAGGTGCGCACCACCACGCCCAGCTCATTTTTTTTGTATTTGTGGTAGAGACGGGGTTTTACCATGTTGGCCAGGGTGGTCTCAAACCCCTGTGCTCAAGTGATCTGCCTGCCTCAGCCTCCAAAAGTGCTGGGATTATAGGTGTGAGTCACCACACCTGGCCTCTGATTTTAAATAATTGGAAATTGAGATGCAAGTAAAGTGTTTTAAGATCACAAATAAAACAATAATGTATTTACAAAGAAGCTTCTATCTCTTCCCTTTCCTCTTCTATGATGAGACTGTTTCTACATGAACATAAAGGTAAATGAAATTTGATAATTTAACTCTATCAGTAAATTAACAAAAGCTTTGAGACCATGTAATACAATCATCTGCAGGAGTTCCTGGCATAATATCCCTGAAAGACAGTCACCTAGTCACCTAGCACAGTTCTGGAGATAGGAGCCCATTCTAACTGTTAACTGACTTTATCATTAATCCTTTCCCTTCACAGAATGAAATCTGCCTCCTTATGACTCAAACATGTTGAAAGAGAAGCAATGAAAAATCTGTTACTAGCATGAACTTGACTCAATTAGGCCAGGCTTCTGATTATTTAGAGCTTGTTTCATGTGTAACCATGGAAGCTGAGACAAACAGTTGCTATGCTTGAAATACAACTGTGAGGTCTAAAAAATGACCTCAGTGAAAGACAGAGACTTTTAACAGGAAGTTGGCTGCAGGCAACCCATCCAGATTAGAGTGATACAAGCAGCTCAAATACCCACTCTGAGGTTGCACACAAGATAAAAACTATGGGTGAGCAGAGATTCCAGGAAGGCTAAGCACAGCAAGGCACTAAAACAACAGCTTTAGAAAGACTGAATCAGAAAATCCACTTCAGAAAGACAGTCTATTTTAGAAACTTATCAGTGGTAGTAACGTCACTTACTAAAATGCACGGTTATCTGTCAAATTCCTGGAAACATTATCTCAGAAAAGGTATCACATAAACAATATTAAGAAACTTAAATCATTCTTATTTCCTCATTAAAACTCACCTAACTCAAAAAACCTAAAAAGCAGCGGTGAAATTAACAGCCAGGAACTGAGTTTACTACTGTTCAGCTAATAGCCACTTACATGGATTTATGCAAGTCATTTAAATGGGCTTGAGCTGAATCTGAAGGGATATATCAGGTCTCCATCTATGATTCTGTTTACAAATCCACAATTCTGATATTTTGTCTCATCTTGCAAATGAATATCCAAAGGATTCTATTTTTGATATGCAATTTATTTTAAAGATTTTTTTTCACTGGTTTATTTATCCTTAGCCAAGCTGTGCTCAACAGCCACCAAAGAATTGTTCTTATTTTTTCCTTCCCGTTTCTTTTACCATTAGGCTGAGTATATCTAAATTACCTGTTTCAACAAGCACATTATTCACATTCTTATTTTTTCTAACTCTTTCTCAAGTATCAGATCAAGTAGAAAAATTTTTTAAAGGGGCAAAATTCATTCAGGTCTTCAACTGGATTTCATTATGCATAAATATCTTTTTTTTTTGAGACGTAGTCTCACACTGTCGCCCAGGCTGTGGTGCAGTGGCATGATCTTGGCTTACTGCAATCTCCACCTCCTGAGTTCAAGCAATTCTTCTGCCTCAGCCTCCCGAGTAGCTAGGGCTACAGGTGTGTACTGCCATGCCCAGCTAATTTTTTTGTATTTGTAGTAGAGATGGGGTTTCAACATGTTGGCCAGAATGGTCTCAATCTCCCGACCTCGTGATCTGCTCGCCTTGGCCTCCCTAAGTGCTGGGATTACCGGCGTTTAGCCACCGCACCCAGCTGCCTGTATCTTTTTATTCATCTAGTCTCACACAAGCATAAGCGCTACATTAATTACCAAGGTTATCCTTCAGAGCCAAATTTATATTTGGTCATGTCAGTGCTTCGTAGTAGGATGCAATAAAAAATTAAACTTCTACACAAAGTCCTCCTCAGCAAATCATGGAAGAGGTTGTCAACGTTTTTGTTTAATTAGAAATATATCATTAGATATTGCCCCAAACTCCAGTCATCTATTCAAAAAGCTTTTTTTTAAATTATAAATGTTTCATTTGGAGGACCTAAGATGTATCCCAGAATGTTTTCATAAATTAATCCAAAGTCTCCTGGTTCAAGAGGAAAAGACTTGCAATAAGGCAGAATGCTATAAAAGCATATAATTCGAATTCTCAACTCAAAATCTCCCCAAGGGATTGTCAAAAGTGAAAGTAATAATGAGGACACCCAGAAGATGAGAACTAAGAAGTCACTTTGGTTTAGCTGACAAAGAAATCCATGACCTTCAAGACAGGAGTTTCAAGAAAGTGGCAGCAGCAGAAATTAAGAGATGATTAGGTGGTGATAAAGAGAAGGCAAGGGCCAGGTGCAGTGGCTCACACCTGTAATCCCAGCACTTTGGGAGATGGAGGCAGAAGGATCACTTGAACCCGGGAAGTTGAGGCTGCAGTGACCCATGATGGCACCACTGCACTCCAGTGTGGGCAAAAGGGAGAGACCCTGTCTCTAAATACATACATATAAATGAAGTTTTAAAAAGAGAAGGCAGGGAGCATAGATGCTCTCTTACGAATTCTGGCAGGAATGCGAAGGAGAGAGAATCCATGGTCCTTTCTTGGTGTAGTAAGAAAGTTTTTTTTTCTACAAAGGAGAAGCTTGGGATATGTTTTAGAGACTTTGGAAAATTAATAATGGTATCATATTTCAAGATTTATTTTACTATTGAGATGATAAAAGAAGGTCTCAGATAAGAAGGAAAAACTCAGTTTAATATCCTGGATACTTTCCTAATTTAAATAAGTGTGCCTTGATGGAATATTTAAATCTATGCAGATTAATGATATTCTTTATTTTTTATTTATTTACCTTTTTTTAGAGACAGAGTCTTGCTCTATCACCCAGGCTGGACTGCAATGGTGCAATCATGGCTCACTGCAGCCTAATCCTCTTACCCTAGCCTCCCAAGTAGCTGGAACTACAGGCAGGCACAAGCCACCATATCCAGCTAAGTTTTTAATTTTTTGTAGAGATGGGGGGCAGGGGTCTTGCTATGTTGCCCAGGCTGGTCTTGAACTCCTGGGCTGAAGTGATCCTCCTACTTCAACCTCCCAAAGCACTGGGATTACAGGCATGAGCTACCATGCCTGACCCTTTTTAATTAAGTGCTAAAAACTTGCTTTAGTGCTAAATTAAGTATATCGTATAATGGATAAGTAATCATCGCTACTAGCCTTATTTGAACAGAAGCCTTGCCTTCTATGTTCATATTTTGTGAAATATATTTTTTCCAAAATAGACATATTTAAGACTTACCTGCTGATCAAAGATCCTATGTTCTCTGTGGTCTGACTCTAGATCTTCTTCTGAAAGTGACACCAAGGAGTCACCCCGTTCCTCACCACTGAAAGGGTGTCTGAGTTCTTTGGCATTTACAGAGCCTACTTCTAGAGATGAGGATGGCTTGGTTCCGATACCAGCTCCTCCTGTCAAGCCTTCTAGACTGAAACTGAACACAGGGCACAAAAGTTAATTCATTCTATTTCTGGGTCCCCAAAACGAAGGAAGAAACAAAAATCCCTTTGGTATATCTCCTTTGTTTGTATATTATTTCTATGTCAGCTAGCAAAACTGTCTAAAAGGGTATGGCACAAGGAGTACCACCTACCTTTCCCCCCCGGACTGTGGAATACTGAGAAAGAATACTCCATTAGATTTTCTTACCCCATTAAATTTATCCAAATGTTGAACCACCAAAGATCACTTCCCGGATTTTTTTCAATATACTATATGGACAGACCATATTTATCTGATATTCTATTTATGTTTTCCCTTGATCTAATTAATCTTTGTGAAATCGAACTCTACAAAAGCCAAGTAATTAAATTATTTTCACAGAGAAAATATGAACTTAAGTAATTTTCAGAAGGCAAACTGGGTAACTTGTCCTTATGTCCATTAAGCGGACCTTTATAACTTCAGGTTCAAGTTGACCTTTATAATTTTACAGGTCTGCTTTCACCCCAGAAAACCCAAGTGTTACTCATGAGTGTTACCATTTATGCACAGCTGGCCAAACAACAACTGCCCACAGGCTTCCCGAGAACTGTTAGTTGCAACAGGCACACGTAATGCTTTAATGGACAAATGCTGAAAAGCTACCAAGTCTAAGAGTAGAAAGAGTTGTAATTTTTTGTCTGGATACTGGTAAAGGGAAAAAAAGGCAAACAGGATTTACCATTTTAAAGAGGATTCCTCAGAGAAAGATTTTGTGATTTGCAGGATGAAAAGCATTTTCAGTCAGCGGGAGGCTACAGAGAGGTTAGTGATCTAAACTCCATGGATTGCTGACTTGAATAATTCACATCTGTTACAACCACAGTGGAAACTTCTTTAAAATAATCAAGATCTCAAAATATAGCTGTAGCTGACCATGTTTGCATTTAACAATGAGCTAGAATTCAATTTTAAGGTATAATGAAGCTATTTAGTTACCTCTACTCAAGGAAAACTTACAGAAAACTGGTACAATTAAGTTCATTCATACCAGAGTCCAGGACTTGCATTTGTATTTGCTTTTTTCTTTTTGGTTTTGTAAATAACTTATGAACTGAAGCCTCATGTCTCTATTTTCTCTAGTAGGTAAATTAAATAATGGATATGCTTTTCTTACTTCAGTATGATAATAGAAATCATGAGTGTCTCTGTAAAACTCATTTTCTTTTTTTTGGTTGTTGTCTTTTTTTTGAGACAGTCTCCCTCTATTGCCCAGGCTGGAGTGCAGTGGCATTACCTTGGCTCACTGCTACCTCCATCTCCCAGGTTCAAGTGGTTCTCCTGTCTCAGCCTGCCAAGTAGCTGGGATTACAGATACCTGCAACTGGGTCTGGCTAATTTTTGTATGTTTAGTAGAGGTGGGGTTTTACCATGTTGGTCATGCTGGTCTTGAACTCCTGACCTCATGTGATCCACGTACCTCAGCCTCCCAAAGTACTGGGATTATAATGAGTCACCACGCCTGACCTGTAAAACTCATTTTCATTACCAGGGGTAAGAAAAGGGGCTAAGTGAAGAAGAAATTACTTGAAAAGCCTAGGAAAACCACATCTATGCTGACTACAAAACTTAATCCTAAAAATATTTTAGTAATTAAATCTAGCTGTTCGGCTGAGAGAATATGAAACGGTAAGGTGTATCTGAATTTGGAATCTAAAAAGACTGATGGACTTAGAAGCATAATAGAAATTAGTACATCCTATTAGCTGTCTTGCTTCTTTGTTTTCTTCAGAATTTGAGAATTTCCAGGATCTGAAAATCAAGACAGACCAAAACAGAGAGAGAAATCTGTGCAGAAAACATCAAATCTATGGCCAGCTGAGACATACAGGATGTATCACTTGACTCCTAGGCGGCATCTCTTCAGCTGAGTTAGTGACACCCATAGCAGAGGCAATGAAACATTGTGCTCACAGACAAAGCAGCCTGCCCAAATGCATTCCAGCTACACAGAAGCCAGCTCCAAGCCAAAAGCCCTGATGCCATATTTTATGGTTCCCCATTTGGTGGCTGGACACATGACAATATCATACCTTCTGTTATTAAAGTCAGCACTCAGGCCAGCAGAGTACTGCACACCAGGGGGGCACCAGCTCATACTGGGGATGACACCAAAGACAGAAACAGAAATATAGGGAGAAAAGAGGAAACAGGGATGGAGTTAATAGGTTTTAAAACAAAGGGCAAAGTTAGAGACAGATGGATTTATATGATCATCAAAAAATTTAGGAATGTAACACTGACAACTTTAAAAAGGACAAGAAGAAGACTTATAGAAACTTAAAATTGTTTTATTGCTGTCTATCTAGATAGCACTGTGGAAAAGACTGTGGGTTTTTTACAGTATCACCAGTTCAACCTGAAACCCAAAAATTCCTTCTGGTGAATCTGTGGCAACTACCTATGGCTCTATGGCTTGCTCTTCAGACATGAAAGGTAGTTCAAAAACTCCACCACTGGGAGCAATCTCTCAGTACATCCCACATACCTACATTACTCTTCCCACAGTATCTCTAATCCTAGACTTTGCAAAAGAGCCAGTGACAAACTGTGCTCTGGTGGGCTGAGAGAGTCATCAGGTGCTTTTTTTCATGTGTTTCCACTAAGGATCCAAACAAACCAGACAATTAATAGATTTTGCATAAGATACTTGGTCAACACTGGCAACCATCTTCAAACGCTCACTAGGCTATTACATTAAAGATAAAACATATAACACTAATTATATATTTGCTTATATTTTAATGATAATGAAAAAAATTTTCCCACCGAGATGGAGTTTTGCTTTTGTTGCCCAGGCTGGAGTGTAATGGTGTCATCCTGGCTCACTACAACCTCTGCCTCCTGGGATCAAGCAATTCTCCTGCCTCAGCCTCCCGAGTCGCTGGGATTACAGGAGTGTGCCATGACACCCAGCTGATTTTCGTATTTTTTTCAGTAGAGAGGGGATTTCACCACATTGATCAGGCTGATCTCCAACTCCTGACCTCAACTGATCCACCCACCTTAGCTTCCCAAAGTGCTGAGATTACAGGTGTGAGCCACTGTGCCTGGCTGATGATAAAAATTAAAAAAAAAAAAAAAAAAAAAAAGGAATTCTATGGCACTGTGTTAGAAATGTGCCTTTTAAAGTTTGTATCCATTTTCCCCACAAGATTTTTAAACATCCATCTCATCATCTACTTCCTTGACTATCCCAGTAGGGGTAGCTATTCTCAAGTAGCAGGGACAGAAAATCTGGGGTTGGAAATGCTAAGTAAACACAACCAGCTAAAACAATAATCAATTCAAAACATTGTATGCTCTATAAAGAAAACTGCATGGAAACGTCAGGATTTTTATTAACAAAAGCTACCATTTAAAAAAACACCTTGCTACCGGCCGGCATGGTGGCTCACACCTATGGTAATCCCAGCACTATGGGAGGCTGGGCGAGTGGATCATGGGGTTCAGAGATCAAGACCATCCTGGTCCACATGGTGAAACCCTGTCTCTACTAAAAATACAAAAATGAGCTGGGCAAGGTGAAGCATGCCTGCAGTCTCAGCTATTCGGGAGGTGGAGGCAGGAGAATTGCTTGAACCTGGGAGGCAGAGGTTGGAATGAGCCAAGATTATGCCACTGCACTCCAGCCTGGCAAAAGAGCCAGACTGTGCCCGCCAAAAAAAAAAAAAACCCCACAAAATCCTGCCTACCTGGCCATAAAGTTCTAAGTGATGTGCTTTTGTTTTCTGAGAAGGGATAAAAGCAGAACTTGTGGACAACAATAAAACCACTTGGCTCTCTCCAGAATCTTGCAGACGGGAAGGCCTGGCACCAAAAACACTATCTATACTGGATATATCTAATAAGTTTGTTTTATTGACAAGTGGGGTTTATGGCTGGAGAAAGGAGACAAGGAAAACAGTAGGAGGAAGTAAGAGCTACCCCTATGGCTCTTTTATAAAATCTATATCATATCATTTAAAAATAATTTAAACAGTATAAAACATTTTAAATCAGATTAAATTAGTCGTATAAAGGTTACAAGTGCGGCAGAAAGTAAAAGTATACACAGTGGAGACACTCCTCTGGTTTGGTAAGCAGGATGAGACTGACATAATTTACTTGTGTGAGGAGAAGAGATATATTTTACAAACACATGTAAGACTCAGAAGTCCATTCTTTGACATTATTAACTTAAATTTAAAATCACCAAACAGTTAACGAACAGGCGTATTTTTATCTAAATATCCAACTTTTTTAGAAACACAATGTGGCAAATCAGTAACTGAACATACACTGCTAAATTGTCATCCTCAAAAATAATCTTCTGCCAGGCACAGTGGCTCATGCCTGTAATCTCAGCACTTTGGGAGGCCGAGGCAGGTGGATCACTTGAGGTCAGGAGTTCAAGACCAGCCTGAGACCAACAGGGTGAAAACCCGTCTCTACTAAAAACACAAAAATTAGCCAGGCACGGTGGCATGTACCTGTAATCCTAGCTACTCATGAGGCTGAGGCAGGAGAAATGCTTAAACCTGGGAGATGGAGGTTGCAGTGAGCTGAGATCATGCCACTGCACTCTAGCCTGGGCAACAGAGTGAGACTCCGACTCAAAAAAACAAAACTCCTTTTACAGATTTACTGTTCCTTTACTTTCAGAATATGACAATAATGTGGAAGACTGATGGGATTTAGGATGAAGAGAATGAAAACAACAGGGAGACAGGAAGAGAGACATACAACCTTTTTTTTTTTTTTGGAGGCTCAGCCTCGCTTTGTCACCCCCAGGCTGGAGTACAGTGGTGCAATCCTGGCTCACTGTAACCTCTGCCTCCCAGGTTCAAGCAATTCTCCTGCCTTGGCCTCCTGAGTAGCTAGGATTACAGACATGTGCTATCATACCTGGCCAATCTTTGTGTTTTTAGTAGAGATGGCGTTTTACCATGTTGCCCAGGCTAGTCTCAAACTCCTGGGCTCAAGTGATCCATCCGGCTCAGCCTCCCAAAGTGCTGGGATCACAGGCGTGACCCACCGTGCTTGGCCAAGATATAATAGCTTTTCTAAGGAAACAGGAAGGAAGTTGCAAATGGTCTATGATGTCTGCCCTTCCTGGTAACAGAGAGCTCCTTTCATAATTAAGAGTATTTTCGAAAGCATCGTCACTTCCTCGATTCCTAAATTAGTAGGAGTAATACTGGCTCTTTGGCTTTATTTTGAAATTTGCAAAGTTCTAGATTAAAAACAATAAATGTCCCTCTTCCACATCAAAATACTTGTTTGGATATTTCAATTTACAAAATTTTAAACTATACATTATGTTCTTCCTACAAAAATAAGTTCCACTAGGGATGAAACTGACTGGAGCTGGTGATGACAGGCACATCTATATACTAACTTGGACTATATCCAACAGCAATCTGTAGTCTACTACCTTGTCATCAAGTGCACATTTTTAATAAGCTCATATTGAAAAGCTTTAATAAAGGGCCAAATATATCTCCAAAGGACCTTCTACTCAAAAACTTATTTAGTAGAGATGGGGTTAAAACTTATTTAACAACTTATTTTCTGGAAGAGCAATTTCACAGAAATCATGATTATCTGAAATTCATGAGAATATCTGAATTTAAGCTCAATTTCTTGCCTAAAATCTGGAATTAAAGAAAGCACCCACTTTAAAGACAAACTAGGAAAGATTACTATTTGCCTACTTCCTAACAAAAAGGTTCAGCTAATAGTTAAAAATACTTCTTTACAAATGTCTCTCAATAAGAGAAACTAACAGTAATAGAACCCTAATTTTTGGATTTCTAAACAACGGAAGAAAAGGTCACTAATGACTTCTAAAGAAAATCCAAAGGAAAATTTCAAGCAAATTAGCACTCTGACTAGAAATTACTTTCAGATTATAAGTCATTTAATTTTAGCTTCAGAATATTACCTGACAAATACTAATTAAGGAATTCAAAGGCCAAGAAATCAACTTATGCCTCTGACTTGGCTTTAATAAATGACTATATCCACAGTGGAATGGAAAATGCCAGGTGGCCTAGTACTCGAGTAAGTCTTTCATTACATTATTAAAGAATGTGTTGAGAATATTTTAGGGCCTGTGCACAAGCACACATACATTCCTGGCTTTTCTTTTCTGAGGAGAAAAAAAAAGTACTCCCCAGGGTCCATTACATAGGCACAACATATACAATTCTTGAAATTCTCCTAGAGAAAGCTGGGTGAGACCCTATTATCAAAGTCATCTGAACACCAATAAGCACAAAATAAAAAAAACACCTAAAAATAATTTTTACAAAAGATGAAATAGGATAAAACTTCATATTAAAGAAACCATTTCATATAAAATGGACACTGGCAATTAATAAGTACTTATATTTTATTTGCCTGAATTAGATGGGACATTACTTAAAAGCAGATGATCCAGTCATGGATTAAGCAGAATGAGATGCTTGTTAGTATATGCTCAGAGGTGACATGGTTAGTCCATCAAGTTAATGAACTCTGTACCTTCTCCTATGAATGGGAGGTCTCCTGACAACATCCCCAAGAACTCGCATTGAACTGAAAATGAATGGTGAAGAGGTCAGTGTTGTAGGTTAAACAAAATGGGATACAAATGCATGACACACACAAACACCACACTGAGAAGACAGACACTGCCCAAAGAGAAATGGCACAGGGAAGAGAATAAAGAAATGTGGAATAAGAAAAATATAAGGACCAAAAAGGCCTGACAATTTCTGTGGAGGGCTACTTTGCTCTTCCCCTTGCTCCAAGGAGTTAATCAGATGGCAAAAGTTATAAAGTTTATTAAATTATTAAAGTTAAACAATCAGAAAAAAATTACTACTCGAGACTTTAAAGGTGTTTTTCTTTTTCTTGGCTGTAGGAGAAAAAAGAAAAAAAAATTTTCTTAACACTTTAAAACTCAGGTTATATTACATGCAGGTAATACTGTAAGAGTGAGTCAAACTAATTAAAGTGATAATTAAAGCCTCACTCTCATTCCATTATCTTCAGAGGTATACGACAGTGTTCCTAGGTAACCCTTAGCAATAAATTCAACAGGAGATCCCATGACATTATGCAGGATGAAAAGTAGTAGAGTTCTAGTCTCAGTTCAGTCTAAGATCACCATGTAATTTTGGGCAAATCATTTATTCTGAGCTTCAATTTCCTCATCTGAGCTACATGACAGAGTCACATGTAGCTCTACAATCAAAGTTGTGACAAAGGAATCCATAGTGGATTATAAAGAAAAATGGATTGTACAGAAAATAAATCCTTATTCCTTAATTCTGTTATCATCTAAGATTAGGCTGTCCTGCCAAAAAGGTTACCTTTGCTTCAAGAAAAGAATTCTAGCTGTAGGGATTATTCACCATGGCCTTACATTTTCTATTGCTGTAAATGCTTAAAAAAGTACATCATGAGCAAAACTGGGGAATTACTTTTTATATGATGTAGGGTCTCAAATGTATATAAAAACAAGCTAGCAGAAAAAAAACGCTGCTTATTTTTAAGGTCAGCCTCCTAAATGCCACCACAGCATAATATGGAATTACAGAAAAAGCATTTGATTAAGAGATCAGAGATAAATGGATCAATGATGTAAACTATCTGTGCCAGTCTTCTCATCTGCAAACATGGGGAAATACCACCTGACTCATGGAGAGGATTGAAAAATTACATCAGAAATGTGTTATAAAAAGTGTCTGAAAATATTAGCGAATCAGGAAGATATAAGAAGGTATAACTGTGAGCTCCATGAAGGCTCTGTGTCTTGTTTACCTCTTTATCTCTAGAACCTAGAGCAGTATCTGGCACATAGTGAGTATTCAATATATGTTGAATAAATGAGTGAATGAACATGATTAGATAGCCATATTATTATCAGGAGGTTGAGGAATTTGAGCAAATAACTGCTCCAGCTGAGCTGTTTACATCAATTATTATTACCATTATATTTTGAGACATCAATTATTATTACCATTATATTTTGAGACATGGTCTCACTATTGCCCAGATAGCATCCTCAAACTTCTGGGCTGAAGCGATCCTTCCATCTCATCCTCTCGAGTAGCTGGGACCACAGGCAAGAATTTCCATGCGCAGCTAACTGTTTTCTTTTTTGTAGAGATGGGGTCTCCTATGTTGCCTACGCTGGTCTCAAACTTCTGAGCTCATGAGATTACATCAATTGTTGTAAAAGAACTGTCAGCCTCGTCCCTTATCTGTTACGTTTACTAGCAAAGTAGCTTTGGAATAAGTATACACTTGTAAATACAGCAGGCACTACCGCAACTCATACTTTAGAGCTAAAACCATCTGTTTAGCTTACATTCATCTAGGCAGCCAGCAGTCAGAAGTCAAATTTGACTTATCTTTGTATAGCCTGCTTCCAAACTGAAGGACTGATACTGGGTGACAATTATAATAAAAGTTCCCACATGGGAAAATACCAACAATTTAATGATATGTAATGAGTCTTATATTCTCTTGAGGATTAAACAATGACAATTTAGATTTTATCAAAACTTTCTATATTAGAAACAGAAAGTTTTAGTTCTTAGAAAATTGATGTGTTAAGACTGTAAGACTTCATGTTTCTTTTTATTTTGAGATGGAATCTCACTCCCGTCTCACAGGCTGGAGTACATGGCACAATCTCTGTTCACTGCAACCTCCATTCCCCAATTTCAAGCAATTCTCCATCCTCAGCCTCCCGAGTAGCTGGGATTACAGACATGCACCACCGCGCCCGGCTAATTTTTGTATTTTTAGTAGAGACAGGGTTTCACCGTGTCGGCCAGGCTGGTCTCAAACTCCTGATCTCAGGTGATCCACCCGCCTTGGCCTCCCAAAGTGATGGGATTACAGGCATGAGCCACTGCACCTGGCCCATGTTTATTTCTTAATTAACATGAAACTACTGCCTCCAATATTTCCTAATTCATGAGTTTCATTAACTAATGCAGCAAGAATAAACATTTCCATTTACTAAACACTCATAATGTGACAATCACATTTCATTGTATTATTAAAAATAATAATGAAGGTATCCTGCCGATGAGAAAATTAAAGCTCAGAGGGGTCAGGTGACTTGCCCAAGGTCATCTACATAGTAAATTATACAGCTAGGGTCTGAACACAGATTTTCCTGATTCCAAAGCCTACCTTCTTTCTAGTCTGTACTATGGGGTCTCCTAAATTCTTTTACCAACAACAATACCAAGCCAGAAACTTCTCAAAAGCAAGCAGACATTGAGACACTAAACAAACTGCCTCCCATCTCACCTCCGGTGGTTCATTTCAGCATCATTGGCTGCATTTTTCCCAGGTCCCCAGCTGTGCCTCCGGAAGGGGGAAAGAGAGCGCATGGAGCTCCTCAGAACAGAGCAGTTTGCAGGCACTTCAGTGATACTGTCCATCTCCTCCTCCTCCATGTCGCCTGGGCCAACAGGCTCACTCTCACTTTCTCGACCCTCAGCTCCCATCCCATGGCTGTAGAAGCCATCAAGGCTTTGCCGATCTCTGGACTTGCTTGGCTTTGAAATGTGGGAGAGAGACGCATCACTGCCATGAGAAGAATGTCGATCCAGAGAAGCTGTGTCATCGGTAGATGAACTGGATCCGGTGATATCACAGACCAACTGCTCTTCTTCAGGCTGTAATGGAGAGAAAGCCCATACGTTTGAAGCCAGCAGGGCCAATCAGACAGCCTCAGTTATTCTAAATCAAGCCAATGGCTTCACAGTGGACTCCAGACAGGCAAGGTCATAATTGGTTTCAAACAGACTTTTGGTTTTTTTTATAGGATGATCACAGTTGGATTCAAAGCTCCCCGGACTTGAGAAAAGAAATAGCCTAAGTCTATCCTATCTTTTTTTTTTTTGAGACGGAGTCTCACTTTATTGCTCAGTATGACATATAGTGGCTTGATGTCAACTCACCACAACCTCCACCTCTCAGGTTCAAGAGATTATCCTGCCTCAGCATCTCAAGTAGCTGGGAGTAAGGAATGCACCACCAAGCCTGGCTAATTTTTGTATTTTTAGTACAGACAGGGTTTCACTATGTTGGCCAGGGTGGTTTCTAACTCCTGACTTCAAGTGATATACCCACCTTGGCCTCTCAGAAAGCTGGGGTTACAGGCGTGAGCCACTGGGCCCAGCCTAAGTCTGTCCTCTTTATATCCTTTTACTAGAGGTACTAGACTAGAAGTACATCATTTTTTTCTTTTCTTTTTTTTTTCCAATTTAAGACAGGGTCTCACTCTGTCACCTAGGCTCACCATTGCAGTGGTGCAATCACAGCTCACTGTAGTCTTGAACTCCTGGGCTCAAGTCATTTTCCCATTTCAGCCCCCTGAGCAGCTGGAACTACAAGAATGTGCCAGCATGTCCAGCTAGTGTGTGTGTGTGTGTGTGTGTGTGTGTGTGTTAGACATAGGGTTTTGCCATATTTCCCAGGATGATCCTGAACTCCTGGAATCAAGCAATTCTCTTGCCTTGGCCCCTAAAGTGGTGAGATTACAGGTTGAGCCACCATGACCAGGCCCTATTTTTCTTTAAGAGGAAAAATATCAACTTTATGTTAGTTCTTTCAGTCAACAACACCAACTGCAATGAAAGGAATCCATTTGTCTCTGGGTTTTCTGCTATATGGAAACTAAATTCATAATGTGTTAGGTTTTTTTTTTTTTTTTTACAAGCTTTAACTGAAAACAAAGCAGTCTGCTTGGCTACAACAATAATGTGCTGAAATTAATACTCCAAAAGTAAGTCTGTGGTTATTTTCAGTGGCCTTCTGAAAAACGTGGAATAGCTTATGACCCTACCTAATGTTTTGCCACAAATGTATAAGTACCTGTTACAAATATCTAAATGGAAGAAAGCTATATATTTTTCTCATTTCACTGAGAACTGGCTTGAGTGTTATGAAGCAAATCATACATTAAATTATCAGTCCTGACAATGAGGTCTTTGATAAAGTGATAAGGCTCTTTGCCTGGCTAACCTCTAGCGCCTAACAGGAATTGTGTAACTTAGTCCTAGTAGCCTGACATTTTCCACTTGTTGAAAGATACCAGCCGCCAGGCACGGTGGCTCACACCTGTGATCCCAGCTACTGGGGAGGCTGAGGCAAAAAATCACCCAGAGGCAGAGGTTGCAGTGAGCCGAGATCACATCACTGCACTCCAGCCTGGGCAACAGAGCAAGACTCCACCACAAAGAAAGGAAAAAAGAAAGAAACCAGAACACAGAACTTGATGGGTGAGGCAAAGATGAGCTTCATGACACCCAAAAGGCCAAAGGTAGTACCTAAGAGATGATGGATCACACTCTTAAGATGTGGGCACTATCTTAATATCTATTTTGCACTCTTACGGGATGAGGGCAGGGAACAGGGAAGGGGATTCTGTAATTCTTTTTCCCTTTTCCACAATATTTTCCTAATTATTCTACTGAATTTTTAATTAAGGGAAAAAAATGTATGGTTCTCCAAGAAAGAAAAAAAATTATGAAAATCTTTTCGCTTTGGAACAGAAAACCAGCCCTATACTATAAAGAAACTCTGTTTAAAGGTTTAATGTAACAGTTAAAAAGCACACTGCCTTCTGAAAGCACTCTTTCTACCTTTTGGGCTTGATCTCACAAGGTAATAGAAGGCTTTCTTTTTCCAATTATGTGGAATCCAGTTTCCTAGATTGTTTTTTAAGCAATGTATGAGATGGGAGTGAGAGAGAAGATGCATAGGGATCACTGGACAGGTCAAACTGAGGCCCAGATTGTCCAATGGACTCAGGCATGAGCAGCAGAATCAAGATTTGAACCCAGACTGATTTCAACTCAAACTGCCCTATTCTGGTACCTCAATCATCTTTTTAAAACCCTGTAAATAGAAGATACCAAAGTCAGTATCAGAAAAATCCCTTCACTGGGTCAGTCTGTAAAATAAAACTACGGTTCATCAGGTAAATTCTAAATTATTGTATGTATTTTAAAATAAAATTACAGACTATGCTTTTTAAGTGAATGAGGGACTCAGGGGCTTCCTAAAGGGGTCTATTCACAGAGCAGCTCTCCATGGACAAGGACAATGTTAACGGTCTCGTGAGTATCTCAGCTTTCTCACTGCAGTGGGTTGAACAGTATCCTTCTCAGAAGGTGACCTTATTTGGAAAGAGGGCCTTTGCAGATGTAATTAGTTAAGATGAGGTTATACTGGAATAGGGTGGATCCAACATGTCCCCAGATCCAACACAAACGGTGTCCTTGCAAGAGAAGAGGAGACACAAAAAGGCACACAGCAGGGAATGCCATGTGAAGACAGAGGCAGAGCCTGGAGTGCAGCATCTACAACCCAAGGACCACCAAGGACTGTGAAGAAGCACCAGAGACTAGGAGGAGGCCATTTTCTCTCAGAGCCTCCAGAAGGGAAGCAGCCCACTGACATGGTGATTAGGATCTCCAGCCTCCAGCACTGTGAGGAAGTAAGTTCCTGTTGTTTTCAGCCACCCAGCTTCCAGTAATTTTTTTACAGCAGCCCTAGGAAACGAATATACTCACTTTCAGCAGCCTAAATTTCTAATTCTCAAAATAATACCAAGGGACAAACAGGATGAACATCAATAAAGCAAAATGTGTAACAAGCCTGTTCTAAAACATACAAGAAAGCCTTCAAAGCAAACAAGAATTTTGAGTTAAAGTTTCCATTGATTAGTTTACCATATAGCCTTCTTACAGTTAGCTATTCCCAGTTTGGAAATAACTCACAGACAGTTGTATATGTACTTCTTCACTCTGGCATCCAATCTTGGAAGGACTCTGCCCTGATAAAAAGGCCTGCTATCTCTCTGGGACTTTACTAATCTGAAGTTTATAAAACAACTGCCTACCTTTTTGACAGTCATTAAAATAAGATGAGAAAATCTTTGGTGGCCTGTTTATACATATTTTAAAAACAAAGAGATCTGTCTAGAATATATCCTCAACACAAAGCCTTTCTTCCTAATATGTGCTTTTAAATCGGATGTCACTGAAACTACATGGTTTCTACAGCCTTACATATCTGGTAGGAATAAAGTTCACACAGAATAATATTCTTATAACTCAGGATTTTTACTGTATTAGGCAGCTCTTTCTATGAATTGGTGGTTATTACTTGAAAAAGGAAAAGAGGCCAGGTGCAGTGGCTCATGCCTATAATCCCAGCACTTTGGTGGGTGGATCACGAGGTCAGGAGTTTGAGACCAGCCTGGTCAAGATGATGAAACCCCAACTCTACTAAAAATACAAAAAAATTAGCCGGGTGCAGTGGCAGGTGCTTGTAATCTCACCTACTCAGGAGGCTGAGACAGGAGAATCGCTTGAACCTGGGAAGCAGAGGTTGCAGTGAGCCCAGATCATGCCAGTGCACTCTGGGTGACAAAGCAAGACTGTCTCAAGAAAAAAAAAAAAAGAAGAAGAAAAAGGAAAACAAAACGTCACTGGTGAAAATGTAAAATGGAACAATCAGCTGTTTCTTAGCAAACTAAACTGATACCTACCACATAATGTAATAATTCGAATCCTAGGTATTTACTCAGAGAAATGATATTATTTAAATTCTATTTATATGAGCTTCTAAAACAGGGAAAACTAATCTGTGGTGAGAAAACAAGACAGATGTTGCCTTGAGTGAGTCTGAATAGAGACTGACTGAGAAAAAGTATGAGGAAACTCTAAAGCGGTGCTTGTAGTCTGTATCCTGACGCAGGCTGGGTACACACGTGAATAAAGGCTTCTATCAAAAGTCATGATGAGTGCTCACTTCAGTAGCACGTACACTAAATTGGAGCGATGCACAGAAGATTAGCATGGCCTCTGTGCAAGTATAATGCACACATTCGTGAAGCAGTCACTACTTAAAATTTTTTTTTTTAAGTCACTGACTGGTAATCTCAAGATTGTGCATTTCATTGTATGTAAATTCTACCAAAAAACCCAACCAGTCTATAAACAAATATTGAATTCAAAGTGCTCAGAGTTGAAGTATATTGATATTTGTAATCTACCTCAAAGAATCTAGGAAAACTGGGTGGACAGAAGGATGGACAGATACATAGTTACATAACAGAGCAAAAACAATAAAAAGTTAATTGTAGGATCTAGCTGGTGGGTATATGTGTGTTCATGGTACAATTTTCCAAATTTCCTATATTTTTAAATATTTTCATGATAAAATGCTAAGAAAAAATGCCTGATCAGCTTTTTTAGCCAGAGTAACATTGCGTAGGTATGGACACGTAAGTGTATGGAGAGGTATAAACATTATATACACTTACATACATAAAATTATAAAAACTGCTGCATACTTTACATCCTATTACTATGCCTGAAGAAATCATGCTTAATATTGCCAAATACTAGTCCTTTAATCTTCATTCATTCCCAAATATTCATTATTATTATTTATAATAAAACACAAGGCACTCTACTACCTGCCTTGGAAAATAACAGCTCACATTTTAAACACCTAGCACATGCCAACCACTTAATCCATTTACAAGCATTACCACTGGTTCACAGTTATAAAATTTTAATAATTTCAGCACTTGTGAACAGGCAATTGTAGGTTTTTGTTTTTTTTTTTTTGGAGACGGAGTCTCATTCTGTCACCCAGGCTGGAGCACAATGGGGCAATCTCAGCCTCAGCCTCAGCGCCCCCAGTAACTGGGATTACAGGTGCCCACCACCATGCCCAGCTAATTTTGTAGAGACAGGTTTCACCATCTTGGTCAGCTTGGTCTTGAACTCCTGACCTTGTGATCCACCCCCCTCAGCCTCCCGAAGTGCTGGGATTACAAGCCTCAGACGCCGCACCAGGCCTTTTTTTTTTTTTTCTTAATGAGATGGAATCTCACTCTGTTGCCCAGGCTGGAGTACAGCTCACTGCAACCTCCGCCTTCCAGGTTCGAGTGATTCTCCTGCCTCAGCCTCCTGAGTAGCTGTGATTACAGGCACCAGCCACCACCCCGAGCTAATTTTTGTATTTTTAGTAGAGATGGGGTTTCACCATGTTGGCCAGGCTGGTCTCAAACTCCTGACTTGAAGTGAATCTGCCTGCCTCAGCCTCCCAAAGTGCTGGGATTACAGGCATAAGCCACGGTGCCTAGCTGCAATTAAAGTTTTCTTAATTAGGATTCTGTAAATACATTTACTTTTATTTATTTTTAATACAGGGTCTCCATCTGTTGCCCAGGCCGGAGTGCAGCTGTACAATCACAGCTCACTGCAGCCTTGAACTCCAAGGCTCAAGTGATCCTCTTGCCTCCACCTCCCAAGTAGCTGGGACTACAGGTGTGTACCACCATGGCCAGCTAATATTTAAATTTTTTAATAGACACAGGTTCTCACTATGTTGCCCAAGCTGGTCTCAATCCTGGGTTCAAGCAGTCCTCCCACTTCGACCTCCCAAAGTGTTGGGATTACAGGCATGAAGCAGCATGCCTGGCTTACATTGACTTTTATCCTATAACTGTTTATTATTATTATTATTTTTTTAAGTAAATTTTTAGGTTGGAGATCAAGCACTTGAGAAAAACTAGTGCAAATGAAAGAAGGATGTTCCATTTAGGTTTTGTATCTTAAAGAAGTCATTTTAATTTTTTTTAATCAACTGTAGATACATCTGCTAACCTGGAGAAAAAAATACATGGAAAAGCTTCATTTACCTCTTTTTGGGAAGAGAGGCAGCAAATATTAGTATTTCCTGTAGACATTAATTATCCTTTTGGATAACAGATTGGCCTAGATCATGTATTTTTATAATCGTACTTTGTCTCTCAGCTAGTGCCAAAAAGAATCCTAGGATTTCTTTTCACTTAAAAACAAAAACTAAATTTTATGCCACTGATCTAAGAAAAAGAAAGTCCTTAGGAACCCACACATATTCATGAGAACAAACAGGAAGCTCATTTGCCAGGAGGCATACTGAATGGAAAGACAGGGTTAAGGTGAAAAGGTCACAACAAACATTAGCTCCGCAGTCTGTGAGGCCCCTCACACAAATGGCTGCAGGAAGTGACCTCATGTTATCACTCTTGGTTCACAGAAAAAGATGTTGCAATGTCTTGCCTATAGATTATTTTTTAGAGAAGAAGAGGGTAACCTGGGAACAAATTGTAGGACATTTTGATATTTCACAAAACAGACTGTGGGTGACCACTAAGGAAGGCTTTTAAGGAAACAGTTAATGGCTTATCTGCCAATGCCCTGCTTTTATTTCATCACTGGCTAATAGAGCAGGTTTTGGGAGGTTGAAAGTAAAACAAAAAATGAAGACATTTCAGAGTCAGGCCTAGATGCAAACCTCAAGTCGGCTGCTCACCCACTAAGTAATTTTGGATAAATTTCTTTACCCATCAGTGCCTCTATTTCCTCAAGAGCATAAGGAGGATAAAACCACCTACTTGTCAGGGCTGCTGGGCAGACAAATTGAGATCAAATATTTAAAAAATTTAGTTCAGTACCTAATGAACAGTAAGTATCCTGTCAGTATTAGTTTGTCTCTCTTCCTTGCGTAAGTAAGCCCTTGGTTTTATTAACGCTAGAGCAAATATTTATTGCAAAGCCTCTCCTGCTCACTAACTACTTTGTTAGAGCAAAAACACTAAGAAAACCCTCCCCATCTCTTCTCAGGCCATTTAGACATTCTCAAGCATGCATAAAGAGGTGAAAGTGAACCTACCATTTCTGATTTTCCCTAAGCAGTCTGGTATAAAATGTAGGTGTTGTTTATTTACTTATTTTTTTCTGAGACAAGACCTTGCTCTGTTGCTCAGTCTGAAGTGCAGTGGTGACATCATGGCTCACTGCAGCCTTAACTTCCTAGACTTAAGCACTCCTCCCACCTCAGCCTCCTGAGTAGCTGGGACCACAGGTGTGCACCACCATGTCCAACTAATTTTTGTATTGTTCGTAGAAACAAGGTCCCGTTATGTTGCTGAGGCTGATTTCCTTGGCTCAAGTGATCCTCCCACCTTAATCTCCCAAAATGCCAAGATCCACCGTGCCTGGCCTCCTTCAACTTTTAAAAATTGTATCTGTTGGCCGGGCGTGGTGGCTCAAGCCTGTAAGCCCAGCACTTTGGGAGGCCGAGGTGGGTGGATCACGAGGTCAAGAGATCGAGACCATCCTGGTCAACGTGGTGAAACCCCGTCTCTATTAAAGATACAAAAAATTAGCTGGGCATGGTGGCGTGTGCCTGTAATCCCAGCTACTCAGGAGGCTGAGTCAGGAGAATTGCCTGAACCCAGGAGGCGGAGGTTGCGGTGAGCCGAGATCGCGCCATTGCACTCCAGCCTGGGTAACAAGAGTGAAACTCCGTCTCAAAAAAAAAAAAAAAAATTGTATCTGTCTGGTGTTCTTGGGGGAAAAAAAAAAAAATCTCCCAAATCTAGCAAAGGCCACTTATAAGAGGAATTTCATAAATGGTTCTGGGAAACTGAGTTAAGAAGGTGAAATACAGAAAATTCTCATTCTCTTTAGCTAGGAAAACCATTCAATTCAGTGACCAGAAGTAACTGTGAGTCTGAAGAGATGGTATTACCCAGGGACAACCTGCCATGCACCTAGGAGGTTACAAGCAAGTATTCTTAATGAAGACACTTCAATGTTGGTTTTTTTTTTTTGAGACAGAGTTTCGCTCTTGTTACCCAGGCTGGAGTGCAATGGCGCGATCTCGGCTCACCGCAACCTCTGCCTCCTGGGTTCAGGCAATTCTCCTGCCTCAGCCTCCTGAGTAGCTGGGGTTACAGGCACGCGCCACCATGCCCAGCTAATTTTTTTGTATCTTTAGTAGAGACGGGGTTTCACCATGTTGACCAGGATGGTCTCGATCTCTTGACCTCATGATCCACCCGCCTCGGCCTCCCAAAATTCTGGGATTACAGGCTTGAGCCACCATGCCTGGCCAACTTCAATGTTTTAAAAACTTTTTACATTAAAATGTTCTTGACCAGACCACAAAAAAAAGAAGAAAAAAAAATTTCCAAACATACATAAATGTATATCAAATCTCTGTATATCCATGACTCAGTTTCAGAGATAATCAATGATCCCATTTTAAAGCTGGAACTTAGAGATACTGTTTAATCTGTTTCAGTACATTTTTAGAAACACGTTATCTTCAGAATGGTATTCCCCTTAGGAGGAATATAAGTCCTTAAATTAAAACCTTAAATTTCACGGTGGAAATTACCTAAATTCTGATTGATATATATATATATATATATATATATATATATATATATGTAAAAAACCTATTGATTTCTCTTTTCCTAAGAGAAAGGCAGATCCTCTAAATGTGGAGTTTTTACTTCACAGAATTTTTTGTCAACTACGGGTAACAAAAATAGAAATCCTTAAGGTTGCATCATATTAAAGAAATATTTCCAAGGACGTTGGGAAGACAATGAGCTCAAGATAAAGTTACGGAAGGCCAAAAATGAAAGGAAGGTACACAGGGTACACTCACAGAGGCGTTGATATGCTCCCGATTCCCACGCCTTTAGGTCTCTCTTCCTCCAACTTTTTTTTTTTTTCCTTCCTGAGATGTAGTTTTGCTCCTGTTGCCCAGGTTGGAGTCCAATGGCGTGATCTTGGCTCCCTTCAGCCTCCACCTCCCGGGTTCAAGTAATTCTCCTGCTTCAGCCTCCCGAGCAGCTCAGATTATAGGCATGTGCCATCAAGGCCAACTATTTTTTTGCATTTTTAGTAGAAATGGGTTTTCACTATGTTGGTCAGGCTGGTCAAAAACTCCTGACCTCAAGTGATCTACCCTCCTGGGCCTCCGAAAGTGCTGGGATTACAGACATGAGCCACGACACCCAGCCTATTCTTTAACTTCTACACAGCATCATTCACCATCTTGGACAACCTAATCACTCACTAACACAACTCTCACCACTTCTCCAAACTCATTACAAAACTAGAAGGAACAGTCTACATAGGTTCAACAGTGTTTCTGACTCTTTACCTCTTAGCATTAAGAAAACCATTTGTGGCATATAATTGAGTAGCATTTGCTATCTTTGCTGTGGAAAAGCCCTCTATTCTCGGGGGAACAAAACAGAACTTGCTGCAACTAGAAATAAACATAAGCAAAAGAGAGCAAACTGCCCCCATCGCCGCCTCCCTTAGACAGCCTCAAATTATATGCACATGAGCTGACTCATGTGGAAGGGCTTTTCAACAGGGAGAAAGCTTGGGCTCAGTTGCAAAGATCGAGAAAGTTCCAATTAAGCAGGCTAGATGAGGATGAGTGATACAACCACACTTAGCAGGAAGCTTCAGGCCTAAACACATTAACCAGATATGACTCTACAGCTGGCTTATATATATGACATCATATAGTCTAAGCTGTAGTCCTTGCTGCCCACTGAGAAGTAGTCACTGTCTTTTGACTTACTTCATACTAAAGGGAATTTCCATTTCTTTTGATTTCTATGTGAGCTTCAAAATCTGCATGTAATTAGTCACAATTTCACAATAAACAAATTTGGTTTTCTTCCCCATCCACTTTTTTTTGGATACAGTCTTGCTCTGTCACCCAGGGTGGAGTTCATTGGTGCAAACTCGGCTCACTACAACCTCCTCTTCTTGGGTTCAAGTGAGCACATCCAACGAATTTTTATGTTTTTAGTAGAGATGGGGTTTCATCATGTTGGCCAGATTGGTCTTGAACTCCTGACCTCAAGGGATCCACCCACCTCAGCCTCAAAAAGTGTTGGGATTACAGGCGTGAGCCACAATGCCCAGCCCAATGCCTTTTTCTAAACCCTGGTAATCTGGTGTTTCCTTCTCCAAGAGAACATTTACACTCCTCTCAGAGTGAGTGAGGCCCTACAAGGCTAGCTGGATCACAACTTACTAGCAGGAGCATATTTAGGGCAACAACATGTCTTGGGAAGACAATGAGCACAAGAGGGAAAGAAAGGCAGAAAAGAGTTTGCGAAGCCCAAACAGGAACACGAAAGCACAGGACGAAAAATGAAATAAAGGTCCATGCAATACCTTTGGGAAGATGATGCTGTCCATTTCATCACTGCATGAGTGAAAGAGGGCAGAATCATTCTCAGACTCTCTTTTAAGTACACCTTGTTTTGAGGTACACTCTCTGCCCAGTCCAACATCCAGGAAGTTCTCACATTCTGAAAAAGAAAATTTATTCATCAATATTGAAAAAAAAAAACAAACTTTATTTTCATTCCAGCAACCAGTCTTTTAAATCTCTCTTTCACACTTATCTTCCTTCCCTACATCTTTTTTTCAATATTAAGAAGCTATAAAGGACACAGTCAAATCAGTAGCTTTGCTACTCCAATTCTAGGTTGATAAAGCTCCTATAGGACAATTATGTATCTGCCATGATTATATTAGGTACAGAAAGATAAAAGGATGATTTAGAAGCATATTCTACCTCTATTTAGATACCCGAATCGTAATGTTTTCCTCTTGTTAGGGATTTTTTTTCTTTTCAAAATCCAAAGTCTGTTACTAGCAACTATGTGATAGGGTGGGTTTTAAATTTATAGGTTCTACTGAGTAATAACAAATATAAATTTAACTTTTCTTACCATAAATAGCTCTTAAATTGGGGGCATAATGTGCCAAAGGGGAAAAATATATCATTTAGAATCTGTTTTCAGTTCAGTAACTAGAACAGGGACCCTGGCAAGCCAGAGAGGGGTCTGCTATAGAAATATTACATTGGTAAATCGAGGAAGCCTAAAAACTTAGCCTGAAATAAGCAAGGTATTCTCTCTCACTAACTTTGCTTGTTTTGAGACGGGTTCTCGTTCTGTCGTTCAGGCTGTAGTGTGGTGGTGTGACCTCAGTTCACTTCAACCTCTGCCTCCTGAGCTCAAGCAATTCTCACACCTTAGCTTCCCAAGTAGCTGGGACTACACGCACATGCCACCATGCCTAGCTTATTTTTTGTCAAGATGGGGTTTTACCATGTTGCCCAGGCTATTAACTTTGTAAACAAAAGTGACATGTGATTTGGTAGCATTATGGTTAAAGAGATTTGTAGATGGTTAAACCAAGAACCCAAGATCCATTACAGAGTGGATATCAGTTTCCTTCAGGAAGTTTTAAGGATAAAAGTCATGGCTAGATGTGGTGGCTCACGCCTGTAATCCCAGCACTTTGGGAGGCCAAGGCAGGTGGATTACCTGAGGCCAGGAATTCGAGACCAGCCTGGCCAACCCCGTCTCTACTAAAAATTCAAAAAATTAGTCAGGTATGGTGGTGGGTGCCTGAAATGCCAGCTACTTGGGAGGCTGAGGCAGGAGAATTGCGTGAATCTGGGAGGTGGAGGCTGCAGTGAGCTGAGATCACAACATTGCACTTTAGTCTGGGCAACAGAAACAGACTCCATTTCAAGAAAAAAAAAAAAACATAAAAAAGTCATACATCTCTGTTTTTGTAAGCATGTTAATGTGTTTAGACAAACATGTATGTACACTTTATCAAACCTGTAGGTGACACTACATGATCAAGGACAGAGCAGGAAACCTGGCTATCTAAGAGATAAGCGAACTCTACCTGGAGGTTTTGGGGGAAGCAAAATCAAGAAGAACTGACAATACAAGGTGATGGCAAAACCGAAGAAACATTAATAGTTTTAGTTTTTAGTCTCTATTAGTAAACAGTACATTGTCATCCAAAACAGGAACAATCCCGTCACTATGCCCCATCCAGCCACACCCTCCAGATTCTGCTTGTTCCTAGATAACATCTAAAGTAGAACACTGAAAAACAAAAATGTGTACACAGTAATGGGGTCACAACAGTCAAAACACCTGAGACACATTCAGCTTGCTGAGGAGCTTAAGGAAAATGTGCCTAAAGATGGTCACAGATTGCCTCTATGCTATTCCAGGGGCCGAACAAAGGCCACTGAGTGTGAGCTGCAGAGCTTCACTACAATGGGGCTTCTGAGCAATAGGCTGGGTAGCCCCATAGAGTAATGACTATTGAACCCAGGAGGTGGAGGCTGCAGTGAATTACCACTTTACCAGAAGGGTTGGAACAGAGAGTGAATGGCTATACCAGGATATTACAGAAAGGGTAGCTAAACAGAGAGGGCAGTGAAGACTAGAACAGATAACTTCCAATGTCTCCTTTGATTATTAGAGTCTATGCTTGCATGATAATTATGCTGTCCCTGTGTTGAGAGACAGTGGGAAGAAATAGTTCTTCTAATTAATATTTATTGATTAGTGATAATTACTAAATTATTCGCCCTGGTAGCTTAGAGGAAGGGTCAACAAAGCACTGCATTAGAATAGGTCATAAATCACTTGTCAATAAAATTACTTTTTATCCAAATAGAAAGAAATGCTTAGTGTTGTGAGGGAGGCAGTTACTGTCTTATGGCAGAAACAAACATATTAGAAGACAATTTCAGCAAAGATTTACACAAAAAAATGCCATAGGAAATGGAACAGGGCTCATGGATTAATCTGAAAATCTTTCAGTTAAAACAAAAATCACCTAAGTTTGCTTCAGTCTTGGTTCAAACTATTTCAGTTTGTTAATTCAGTGGGAACACCCCTGCCTTTAACATACTGGAAACTATGGGTATTCTGGAGGGTTTTTTTTCACATTTCTTAGAGCATGCAGTAACTTAAGAGGAGTTGGTGGGTGTGATCTATTCCTTTCCCCACTTGAAAAAATAAAAAACGCCTTTCTGTGGTTGAGGGAAAAACAGGGGGGCTGGCCAAGAAAAGAAAGGGCTGTCACAGCAACTACGCTGAGCTGCTCACTGTCCAGCTGGCTGTCTAACAGACCACGTCCAAATTCCAGACTGGAAAACAAACCAGCTCATGATATTTGAATGGAAAATTCATGGGAAAGATCCAGATTCAGCCCTGGTAGGGATACCTCACCCAGAAAATAAATTCAAGCCATCAAGGGATGACAAACCAGGTTTGGGATGAGAGTCTGCTCTGGGAGATAAAGCCAATTGTTGAGGAGGAGAAGAGGGGAAAGTACATAAAAAAAAGAGTAAGATGGAGAGAGAGCGACTATAAACCATTATAACCCCCCAATTTCATGGGGCAGGGGGAGGTGGGAACAATCCCTAAAGGCAGAGCTAAGCCATACCCTGGGTCACATGTATTTTTAAGTTTTCAAAATTAATCAAATCTTTTCTTTCTTCCATGCCCCCTTCCTAATGAATAAAGGGGAGCAGCATATCAAAGTATAAACAAGAATAAAGAGCTCTGGTTTTAGAGTTAGACTGCTTGGGCTTAAATCCAGGTCTGACTAGTTATTAGAAGAAAAATTCCAGGCAAGAAGTAATTTCACTCTCCTCTCAGTTGCCATTTCTGTAACAGTGACAAGGGATGATTGCTACTTCCCTAAACGAGCCATAGTGACAGAAATAATTTAGACATATAGTAACCACAACTCTGGTTTCTAGAACATAGCAGGTGTGTGATACATGTGCCTAACAAAGTTAAGGCTTCATTAACCTTTAATGTATGATTCCGTAAGTATCCCGATGACAATGCCTTAAAGATGGACATAGCTAGGGCCAGTCCCATTTTATGACCCATATGTAAATTTGTCTATAATTTTTGTGTACTGAGCTATTATTAGCTTTTTAGAAGCTAAGATATAAACTTTTAAAAAGATGTTGTCTAGTAACTGGGGTTTAAAATAACAGATATACCAACAAATTGTTGTTGTTGTAGGAAAACACACTGCTGACACCCAGTGGGCTCTGTTATGTCATACTAATTATAATCCTCCCTTGTAATCATCCATTACTGAAAGGAATACAAAGTGACTTTAAAAGACAATATATTTTTTTGAGATGGAGCCTTGCTCTGTAGCCCAGGCTGGAGTGCAGTGATGCCATCTTGGCTCACTGCAACCTCTGCCTCCCGGATTCAAGCGATTCTTCTGCCTCGGCCTCCCGAGTAAGTGGGACTACAGGGGCGTGCCACCACACCCAGCTAATTTTTGTATTTTTAGTTGAGACGGGGTTTCACCATATTGGCCAGTCTGGTCTTGAACACCTGACTTTGTGATCCGCCCACCTTGGCCTCCCAAAGTGCTGGGATTACAGGCATGAGCCACCATACACGGCCAAAAGACATTATCTTATTTGGTCTAATGCTACTGCTCCCTTGAGGAAGTGCTTATAAAGTAAAATAGAGAAACGTGCTAAACAAAGTAGCTGGGATTCACAAAAACACTATGCCTAAAATCAAAATCTCAGTAGCAGGATTCTGATCTGCAATTTTTAAATCGAGATTTAAAAAAAAAAAACTACTCTAGAAAGACTAAATTGCTTATGCTTGGGATTAGGGTGTGGAGTGGGTCTACAGAATTCAAAATTGTGTCCTGGGGAAAATGTTCAGGGGTTCAAAAATCATTTCTCTAAATATGGAAATTAAACTGTTATGTATGGAGATCTTTCCTTCCTGTGAATATTCAAACTGTGAGCAACCTCATTTAATCTTTACTTGGCAGAAAGTTTCACGGTTGGGTGGTTGTAATTACACTTTTAGTAAAAACCCCAAACAATTTAAGGAACCAAAACACAGTACTAAGTGGCACATGTTTAAGTAGAAGGTTCCAGGAGGCTACATGGGGGAAGTATCAGCTAAATCTGTGAACAGGGTCAATCTTGTAAAACTTAGACCCTATAGCAAAGTATCCTTTCCCTATTCTCAAAAATGAGACAAAAATAGAGAAAAACACTTTTTATGTCTGTTTCTAATATTTCCTTTGTAGTAAAGTCAGAGAATTGAAAATCAGTAGGAAGTTGCTCAGCAGTTAGAGAATTCAAAACAATTTGTTTTTAAATTTAATACTGCTGGAGGGTATCTACACCTAAACCATTTCTAAAAAGACCTGCAAATGAAGACCAGGTAATTTTTAAAGCTGGGCATTAAAAATTGGGAAAGGAAACAGGTTTGTTGGGTAAAGCAGACTAAGAAAACTCAGAATGCAAATTACTAGTATTCATTTAGCAGCCGTAGGAACAGGCAAAGGGATTACACATCATGTCATCTGTGTAACACCCTCAAAATGAGACAAGCTAACACTTTACAGATGGGAAGCAACAGAGCACACAGAGTTAGAGGCCGGACTCGGTTTAGAAGTCGGGACTCCTAAGTAACCACAAGCCATGTGCTGTGTCATTAGAGAGTAAGGACTTAAGAGCATCACACCCTCAAGTGTTGTTAGTAATAACGCAAAGATACTTAAGGAGACTCAAATCCTGACCATGCATACAAAGTGTATTGGTTCTCATCCCTGGATTCACAGCAGGGTAACCAAAGGAGCTTATGAAGATTCTGATATCCAGGCCACACTCCACCCAATTAAATCAGAAAATCTGGAAGAAGGACCCAGGCATTAGCATATTTTTAAAGCTTGTTCAGCCAGATAATTCCAAGGTGCAGTCAAAATTGAGAACCTCAGGTTTGGTTCTTAATAGTATATTTATATAACCTTTTACCAGATTAACGAACCTATGTCACATGCATATACATGTCACAGATGCCATCACAAATGAATGAATCATAAAGCCACCTATGACATCTGTTACTACCAAAATAAAATTAAGGTAATGACATGCTCATCTTCAACTGTGGGACAAAAATGCCTACAAACCCAAATCACATATATCCCGTCCTCTGATTTATTGTATAACATGCTAAGGAAAGGCAGATCTCCAAATAAAGTAATCTGTTAGAGCTCCAGAAAATGAATGGACAATCTCAGCTTACCTGGGCTCTGCTTGGAAGCCAAAAGAGATGCCGCATCAGGGCACGGATCTATTGTACACCAGCTTTCTCGGTTTATCTGAAAGAGAAGGAAAACACTGAGTATCAGACATTGAAGTACTGTGAGATAATTTTATAGCTGTCAAAATTATGTTGACTGTACCAACATTCCTATCTTTTTAACACAGGGTGAGCAAACTTATGTCAAGGAAAAAAAAAAAAACAACAAATTTTTTCATGATCTATACTCAATTAAGGCTCTACAGAGACTGTCAATAAAAATTAGGCATACCAAAGCAATAGGAAAAGATACACAGAGATGAAGGCCACAGTGTAGGCCAACGGTAAAATTAAAAAAAGTTAACAAATGAAACTAACTAAATACTAAAATGCATATTTGGTGTGGCTCATGTCTGTAATCCCAACAGTTTGGGAGGCTGAGGTTGGAGGATTGCTTGAGGCCAGGAGTTCCAGACAGCCTGGCCAACATGTTGAAACCCCACCTCCAGTAAAATACAAAAATTACCCAGGCGTAGTGGTACAAGCCTGTAATCCCAGCTACTCAAGAGGATGAGGCGCAAGAATCGCTTAAACCCAGGAGGCAGACATTGCAGTGAGCTGAGATCACGCCACTCCAGCCTGGGCAACAGAGCAAGACTCGATCTCAAAAAGAAAAAGAAAAACGAAAAGAAAAGAAAAGAAACAGGCTCAGAGGGGTTGCTGAAGTAATAAATAGCAGGACTGGTACTGGAGTGCCAAGTCTGTGTTATTCTAAAAAGCAAATACCCCCTCTAAATTAAAAACAAGTTTAAATATAGCCTTTATACCTCCCAACCATCTTAACATTATAACTCTATTTTCATTACATTAAATTTTTTAAATTACCATTGAAGATTTCAATACTCCTCTCTTAATTGATAAAGCAAGTAGAAACACAATCAGCAAGATGGAGAAAACTTGAAAAACATCAATCAGTTTGACACAATATAGGACTTCCACCCAATAACAGCATAAGACACATTCTTTTCAAGCGCATGACGAATATTCATATTCTATGACAAAACAAACCTCAAAGCAAATACATTCTGTAGCACAAAACAAGTCTCAAACATAAGAGAATTAAAATCATAAAAAGTATGCTTCTGTGATCACAACAGTATTAAATTAGAAATCCAAAACAAAAGATACTCGGAAAAAACTCAAATATTTGAAAAAATATTTTTTTTAACTTCTAAATAACCCAACAAATCAAAGTAGAAATAGTAAGAAAATATTTTGAATTGAAAAATTTGTGGGATATAACTAAAGCAGTACTAACAGTAATATTTATAATATTACATGCTTGTATTTCAAATCAGTGATCTAAACTTCTACCTTATGAAACTAGAAAAAGAGGAGCAAATTAACCCAAAGCAAGCATGATAAAAAAAAATAAAGAACAGAAATCAATGAAATAGAAAACATAAGAACAATAGAATCAATGAAACCAAAAGCTGGTTCCTTTAAAGGGTCAATAATATTAATACAACTTTGGTGAGGCTAATCAAAAACAAAAGAAATACTACAGGTGATAGGAATTAGGAATTACAGAGTGACACCATTACAGATCCTATAGATATGAAAAGAAAAAAGAAATATCATGAACATTATTGCAATAGATTCAAGTTGGATGAAACAGCAACATTCCATGACACTACACAAACTACCAATTTTCACTCAAGAAAACATAAATAATCTGAATAGCCTTATTCTATTAAAGCAACTTAATCCATAGTTTAAAACTTTATTACAAGGAAAACTTCAAGCTCGGATGACTACAGTGGTGAATACCACCAAACATTAAGAAGGAAATACCAACTCTACACAAGCTTTTACAGAAAATAGAAGGAAAGTATTTACGACACAGCTCATTTTTTTATTATACTTTAAGTTCTGGGTACATATGCAGATTGTGCAGGTTTGTTACATAGGTATACACATGCCATGGTAGTTTGCTGCTTCGATCCCCCTGTCATCTACATTAGGTATTTCTCCTAATGTTACCTCTCCCTAACCCTCCCACTTCCTGCTTTCCCTCTCTAAGCTCCGCCACCCATCCCCGCTGGCAGGCCCCCATGTGTGATGTTCCCCTCCCTGTGTCCATGTGTTCTCATTGTTCAACACCCACTTATGAGTAAGAACATGTGAACACAGCTCATTTTATGAGCCTAGCATTACTCTGAAATCAAAATCAGACAGCTGTAACAAAACTACAGATCAATATTCTACAGGAATACAGATGCAAAAAAAACCTTAACCAAATTTTAGATTAATGGAATCCAGCAATATATAAAACAGATTAAGAGATCATGATCAAATGGGTTCATCCCAGGAATGCAAGGTTGGTTTATCACTTGTACAATCAGTTTAACCAACCAAAAACCCTCACGAACTAATGACCATCATTAGAGGAAAAGAATTTGGGGCTGGGAGTGGTGACTCATGCCTGTAATCCTAGGTCTTTGGGAGGCTGAGGCAAGCAGATCACTTCAGGTCAGGAGTTCAAGACCAGCCAGCCTGGCCAACATGTTGAAACTCTGACTCTACTAAAAATAAAAAAATCAGCTGGGTGTGGTTGTAGGTCCCTGTGATCCCAGTTACTAAGGAGCCTGAGGCATGAGAATCACTTGAACTTAGGAAGCAGAGGTTGCAGTGAGCCATGACTGTGCCACTGAACACCAGTCTGGGTGACAAAGCAAGCAAGTGTCTTAAAAAAAAATTAGCAAAATTCAACATCTATTAATGATAAATCTCTCAGAACACTAGGAACAAAAAGGCAATTATTCAACCTGACAAAAACCTACGGTTAACATGATATTTATTGGTGAAAGACTAAATGCTTTCACTCTGAGAACAATAACCAAAGATATCGATTCTCATCACTTTTATTCAACCATGTTCTGCAGGCCTAGCCAGTACAGTAAAGCAGAAAAAGAAAAAAAATGCATACCATTGGAAAGAAAGAAGTAAAACTTTGTTTATTCACAAATGGTGTGACTGCCTATGCAGAAAATCCTAAGTAATCTATTAAAATACTGGAATAAATGATGTATTTTTTAAAAACATTTTCAGTGAAATTTTATTTTTTAAAAAAGCAGATAAACATTACAATTCAATAATCTAAATATGCACTTGACAATAAAGCATATCTGAATATGGAGTGAAAAAGGTTTTCTAAAAAACCATCAGCTATATTATCTCCAAATACCCAAATAATCAATCACTTCTGCAGGCCCTCTGTTAAGTGGAATCATAAACAAAGAACTGAAGATTTATTGCTGTGAAAACAAATCTGTGGTACAGTAGTATGAATCTTGGGTATTAAGCATAATCAGGTGGGTCAAGAAGTTGGAAAATGTGATAAGAAATTTGTGTGTGTCCACATATTCTCACTCATAGGCGGGTGATGAAAAATGAGAACACATGGACACAGGGAGGGGAGTACTAAACACTGGGGTCTATTGGGGGGAAAAGGGGAGGGCCAGTGGGAGGGGGAGGTGGGGAGGGATAGCCTGGGGAGAAATGCCAAATGTGGGTGAAGGGGAGAAAGGAAGGTACACACTGCCATGTGTGTACCTATGCAACTGTCTTGCATGTTCTGCTCATGTACCCCAAAACCTAAAATGTAATAAAGAAATTTGTGTGTGTGTGTGTGTGTGTGCGTGCGCGCGTGTGCATTCATAAATCTGTAAACCAGTTGACCCAAGAGCAACCGAAACATCTAACTTGTTCAGTTGAGACCAGACATTATGTTAAATTCTGAAGGCAATTAAAAAAAAAATTCCAAATTTCAGCCCAGAAACCAACCAAACAAACAAAAACTGTAGAGTGAAATTAAAACTATATTAAAAGTCTTTTTTTTTTTTCAGCTCAATTTAAGCACCCCAAGGAAAATAAAAGCATCCATGACTATAACAGATGAAATCAAAATGAATGTCATAGGAATCAGTTATTTTTCCCCACTGAGGTATAAAATCTATATAGAAATTTGATACTATACTATAACAAATTGTACTTCTCATAGTTCTGTTTTAATTTCCTTTAAACCCTGTTTAATATAGTTTGTTGTTGTAAAAATATTGTTTTCATGGTTCTGTATCTGGTTCCAGTTCATTTATTTCAATATCAATATTTACCAGTTCTAATCAGGAAAGAAAATCTTGGAAATCTCTTCATTATGACAGCACATTCAGAAGAAATTACTGAGGTGCAAGCAAACCATAAAACGTACAAGTACAGTTCTCCAGAAAGCATATTTTGTTTTTTTTCATTGTCTCAATATTCTTTAGCATGATTTTTGGAGAAAGACTTTCAATCTTGTAAACATCAGTGTGCACAGTCTCATTACTATGCAGTTTCATGTCAGTGGACTGGAAGGCTGGTTCACAGCTAGTGAAAAGCTAGAGAAGTTTAAGTTTTAATGGCTGATAAACCTTACATCCTGCAGAGGGGGAAAGCACTTTTCCTTTTTTGCTACTTAAGAAATGTATGCTGAGGTAGCCCAGTCAATCCTTATTTTTTTTTGTTTTTGTTTTTTGTAAATTTGGTCTCAGAATATTTCTGGCAGGGTGACATTTCGAAGAAGCCACTGCTGGGACCAACTTCCATTGCAGTCTCTAACGCTGGGCACCTGGCTATCCTCTTCTGTGGCTTTATCCAAGCACTGATTACTGTTCGCATGCTGCAGGGTTAATTTCACTGGGTCATACTCCCACAGTTGGTTGCCTTTTAGGTGGTGGCATTTGAGCATTGTAACTGGGCCATTAAGTTTGGAGACATCCAAGCAAAGGTCATCTGTTCTAGTTTCTTTGTTGGCAGTGTAAGAGAAAACCTGATTACCCCCATACCATGGCAATTAAAAATTCCAACTTTTTCATTCTCTTTTCTGGCCATGTTATCTAGACACGGATTTGTTTCCACATTTCGTATCTCTCCCAATGAGAAATAGTGATGTGGAATTTGAGAATCAGGGTAAATATTTTCTAGGTACCAAGAAAAAGGTTTGCATTGTAGTTTGTGTCTTAGACCAACTCTTGATGA